TAATCAACGGATCAAACCTTTGGAGATGTCATCGTAACCAATCTTCTTCACCGTCTCTCTGACCACAGCCTCGATGTCAACCTTGGCTTTGGAGCTGATCTCGCCTAAGATGATGATGAGGTCGCCTTTGGTGGCGGTCTCTGCGGCCACTTTCGAGTCGGGATCCACTGCCAGATGTGCGTCAAGAATGGCATCACTTATTTGGTCACACATTTTGTCTGCGATAGAAAACAATAGACACATGAAAAGCACGTGTTATTAATGACCCAATGTTTGTGCAATAATTGTGGCGCCAATACATACCGGGATGTCCTTCGCCTACAGACTCAGAGCTGAAGAGGAATGTGTCGAAGTGGTGACCATTGGTACCATTGGTGCCATTGGTTCCGTTGGTTCCGTTGTGGTCCGAGAAACCATTGGTGTAGACCTCTTGGTTTGAAGACATCACTGCGTTTTGTGTCTCAATGTCTGGTAAAGTATGCCTTAAATGAGTGAAAGTATTGAGAGAAGCGTTCAGTTGTGTTGAGACATGTGTTTCACTCAATGCTCGCTATAATAGCGGAGAAGCACTGCTTTTATACACAAATGCCAACCAATGCTTAGGTCTGACGTCATCTCATATCGCACTACAACTTCTCAACACTTTTTCCTATGCTTTCAATCCATTTGTCTTTCGATTTCAAAAGCAATGAATATTCTGTTTTTTGTTTCTCTTTTCTTTCATTTAAAATGAATATTCATTTAAAAATCTCAATTTTTTATAAATAAGTTGCATATTCACTATCATTAGCCAAAACGACCTTCACTTTTATGAATATTCATTATCAAAAAGTCCATTAATTTATCATTCGTCCTCATATACTGCTGTCTAATTAACTTATTTTTTACCTTGTTTGTGGAATCTGAAATAGTCCTGGTCATTCCACCGCTAATACATTCATTGCAAACTCTTTTCTTGTTATTTTTGCGTCTGAAACATGATTTCTAGTTTCTTTCATATCAATTGACAACAATATCTGTTTATTACAAGTAAATCGTATAAAAAGTGATAACAAAATCCATATAAACTAAAACTTAAGGCACGAAAATCTGATATCAATTGAAATGACCTGACGTTGAGAAACATCTGAAGGTTTTCATTGCAATCTATTTAATGGTTATTTGATTGGATATTATGTATGCTTTTTATAACCCATTGGTTAAACATATCATACTTTTAATAAAACACTATTTAAGCGCTTAAAAGTTAGCAAAAACTTACTTTCAATAAATATCAAAAACTTTATCACAAGACTTGTAAATATTTGCCTGAATTATAACAACAAAATAACTTAAACACAATTATTACGTATTAAAACACAATAAACAAACATATATTTATAAAATAATCTTACTTTCTTAATAAATGTAATAAACAATTATAAAAGTAAATTAGCTATATTTTAAAATATGGTCTTTATATAATAATTGACAAAATGTTTATGAATTTAAATTAAATTAAACTCAAAATCTAATGGTAAAAATGTAAGCAATTTATGCCAAAAACAGTCCATTTAATGATTCGTATCATATAATTGACTCCTTAAATGTCAAAACAGGATCTTTACGTCCATTTCTGCCATAAATATTAGAGGAAACTCCACATAAATAGACCTTATTTTAAATTTATTCACTTTGATAGTTTTTTTAACGTTATACATCTTCCTATCAGGTTCAATATATTCCGTAATATAGTTTTGCGGACAAATATTTTATCATTTTCAAAATTAATAAGAGTATGAATAAGAAACACACTTTGTATTGATGGCAATGCATTCATAGACTATTCTAGAAGCTGTTATGCAAGAAACAAACTCGAGCTACAAATTACTTGTATACTTTGCAAATCTGTGACTCAAATTTTAAGCTTGATCGCGTTTTGGTCCAATTTTTGACTTTTCTAGTATTTGTATAATTTTTGAATGAAAAATAAAGGAAACTAGGAATCTTCCTGAAAGTGTCTAACATTAGTTGTTTTAAAAAATAAATTATTCTATCACTCGATCGCTACTATGGATCACCAAGTATATTGGTAATTAAAACTATAGTCATTATAAGTTATAATTATAATTTATAACTATTAAAACCATTTTATTGTTTAACATTACCAAGCAAAATGTTAAGTAAAATTAAGGTAACTGTAAAAATATGAATTAATTAATTGAAGTTTAGAGAAATTTACAAATATTAGTGACAGAAATTAATAATCTTTGATAGTTTTAGACGAGACAATGTACTGTATTTTGTGAACTGAATTTTGGTTGATTTGACAAATACTGCTAATTATATAAATAAATTCATAATTGTGAAGAATGGACTCACAATTCACATAATATGTATAAAATAAATAAATAATATTATTATTTAGGAGGGTTTTTAATGTTTCATGTTGTACTTATTAAGCACTTGCACTTATTTTACGTATAGCTAGAGCTTTCATTATTCGGGAGTAAAAACATCTAAATTGGGAACCGGGAGTTAAACAGTCAAATTCGAGAAAATTTCGAAATTATCCTTTAATTAAATTCTGATTTAAATTATTTAAAATGGACGATATTTTGTAATGACATGAAATAATGACAAACATTGAAAATGCTATAAGACTTGTCATACGTTTTGTATTGCAGTTAAATTTCGTATGAATAAGCTTCATGTTTATTGTAATATACGACAATTTCATCAATTATGCAAAATTTGCAATATTTTTTACATTTTCTAAACAATTCACTAACAAGATTTTTAATTAAAAAGTTATATTTTAAAAGTTTTTTGTAAAAAGTGTATTTTCGGGATTATTTGTACTCAAATAGCTTTCTCGGGAGTTTCCTCAAATTCTGAAATGTGAATATTTTATATATTTTGAACCTATTATAACAGCTCAACCTAATAGTATATAATTCCCGCTGTTTTGATTAACTAATTTTATTCGGGAATTCCCGGAAAATGGAAGCCATACGTATAGCATGTGTCTAATGGTTAAGCATTAACGCTTATATAAATATATTTAAGTTATACACATTTATACATTATAAACTTAATGTTATACATTATAACCTTAACAAGTGCTTAATAAGTACAAGATGAAATATTTAAAGCCCTCCTAAATATGTGAATATCAGTACAAGTTATCTATACATTTGTATATACCCTAAACTCAGAATATGAACTTTTATTGTGGATGAATCATACAGTATGATCGATGCCTTCGCCCATTCCTCGTCAGAACAATAATCTTATGTTTATAAAAGGTTTGGGAAAAGATTTGAGGAAAATCAAAATATTATAGGTATTATAGTTGCAAAGTATTTATTCAAATGTTTACATCAATACTGTATAACATAGAAATAATTGACAATTATTGTAATAAAACGCATAAAAATATGATTGAAAACAAAAGGCAATGATTTTAATAAATGTTTTTAATGAAAGAAAACTGCGATAAACTCGAAAAGGCTTTTTGAAGGCTAAGAGAGAGCGAGTCCTCGACGGGAAGATTGGAGAAGAAGTGATTCAATTGTTGCCAATCGAGCCGTTCGACAGTCTTGTTGTAGAGGTTGAGAGTGGCGTCCGGGAACATAAAGTGCGGTGAAGTGGCCGCCAAACACGACATATTGATTTGCGACAATTGCACCAACAGTTTGACCGCATCTTCGCATAGGGGCGGGAATGGAGCGCACATTCGGATGAGTGCTGGCAATACACCGGTGAAGAAAGTGGCCCTTTTGTCACTCGGCAGCACCGATACCAACGTCACCGACACATTGAAACATAGCTTTGCGACACTGAATGACTTTGCAATCGAGTATTGTTTGCATAAATATGAACATAAATTCATTGCAAATGCCTTTTAAAAAATACAAAAAATTATGAATTATTTATTTTAAAAACACAAAAAGGATATATAAGAATAAATGCCAATTAATCATGAATTACTTGTTTTTGGAGATCCGGTTGTCCTAACAGTTCCGGAATGAAATCCAGACAAATATGCATCGAAGGTATGGCTGCG